TTTTTTTTTTTTTTTTTTTTTTTTTTTTTTTTGTGGTACTGGGGATCGAACTCAGGTCCTTATGCTTGCAAGCGGCAGAACCATTGAGCTAAATCCCTGGCCCATGTATTTTTAAATCATATGTTATTAAGATATACACGGCAGAGGACTTCCAGAATGGTTTCAGAAATTGGCAAGAATGATGTGTGCTCAAGACAAAAATGTATTTAGGGCCGGGGATTTAGCTCAGTGGTGCCGGCTCCTGCCTGGCAAGAGAAAGGTCCTGAGTTTGATCCCTGGTGCAAGAAAAAAAAAAAGGAAAAAAGAAAAAAAGAAAGTGTGTTCAAACAGAGTATTTTGAGGTGGCCTAATGGCCATATGTCTTTTACTGTAATAAATGTAAACAAATTTTACAAAATATTCACTGTATTTTTCAATCACCCATTGTACTATACCGAGTTTATTAAACAGCCTTCCCTATAATTTGTTTTTGCTGTCATATGTGTTTATATATTTATTTATATGACTAATCAGATTACTTCTCCAATTCAGCATACCTTTTTAAAAAAAATTAAACCTATAACATAATGTAGGTTTCATGTGTAAGATGTATAGACCCTTTGAGGTTACACTTTTTCTTAAATTTAATGTTACAGACTATTAACATAAATATCTTCAGAATCTATGGAGAAACAACTTGATAGTATATCTAGGTAAGGTAAGACAGTGGTAATAATATTAGACTAGAAGAGTAAGTAGATCTTGTTTCTGGCCTGATCTGGTCTTGTTTGAACTTGGCTAACTATCTCTGTTCTTGTTTTTTCATTTGCTTAAAAAAGAGAGAGACAGAGAGGGAGAGAGAGAGATTGAATGAGATGAACTATGGGATCTTTTTTCAACATTTAGGTTTTCAAAAGCTAGAAGAAGCTTAATGATCTAGTCCTGAAACAAGGCAGAAATGTCAAAGGGATTAATTTGACAGTTCATATAGAGGAGCAGTTGAAAATGATGGGAATGACAGGTTGGCTCTGAGTGATGGGGACTTTGGATGCCATACTAGGGATTTTGAACTTACCCTTAAGCAATGAATAGTCAATGGAAGGTGCTTTTTTTTTTGTACTGAAGATCAAACCTCAGACCTTGCACTTGAGAGGCAGGCGGTGGTACCACTGAGCTAATCCCCCCCCCCACCCCGCACAGCAGAAGAGTTTTAAATAGAGGGAATGCAGTTATCAAAATTTTGAATTACTGAAATAGTGGTCAATAGGATCAATTAGAGAGGGAGAAATCAAATATAGGTAACTGACAGATCGTGAGCTCTGTACCTAAATTTGACATTGTGCTAAACTTTATAATCTGTGCTTCCAGGATATGATGGCAGATAACCTTGTAAAGCCTGATTCTAGAAATTGCAAGAGGCCAAGAGAAGTGGAGGTAAGCTACATGTTTGTGGAGATTTAACTTTTAATTATGTTTTACATAGTTTTCAGATTTTTTCAATTTAATGAAGTTCTATTGATAAATAGAATTTAATGTTTTCATATTCTAAGAGCTAGGATTGCTGTAGCTGGAACCACATTGATTCTAGCTTTTTCACTAAGTACAGACCTGTAAGAAATTGCTGGGGATTTAGCTTAATGGTGCTGCCACTTGCCTTGCAAGTGCAAGGTCTTGAGTTTGATCCCTGGTACCAAAAAAAAAAAAAAAAAAAAAA